TCATCATGTACCTGTTTCATCATGCAATTATTTCATGACGAACCAAATAAATTATGCATCTGTTTCATGTTCCATTTTTTCTACTAAATGGATCAACTACACCATCACTGAAACGTGGTTCACCATGAAACGATTTCATATTATTAATGAATCAATTACAACATGAACCAGTTTCATCTTCATGAAACCTATTTCATTAACATTATTTTTTTTAATTTGAACCATAATTTACGATTTCATTCCATAATGCAATTCAATCTTCAAGACCCGTTTACAGATTCAATCTCATAACAATATATCAAATTCAAATTTTTAATATTATAATATAATTAAATATTTAATATAATTAAATATTTAAATGTTACCATTTATATAATTAAATTTAATAACTTCCATATTTAATAGAAAATATTGTAAATGGCCGAAATACCCTTATTGATTAAATTTAATTAGAAAAAAATGGAATTTTTCTATTCGTCGAAATTGGTTTACACGGTTTCTTAGAAATACACGGTTTTTATTTGAACGTTCCCCATCTAATATATTTGTTTATTTATTTTAGTATTAGCAAGCCCAACTTTTTTAATTTATGGGCTATGACCCAAATATATCTCTAAGCCTAACATAAAATATAACATCTAACATAATCAAATCCAAATGAATTAGCGCCTAAAAATCCCTAAACCAGTAAACATATCGACACATTTGACATCGACGGTCTTCAAATTTTGAAATCTCTCAAGAACTCTATCAATCTATCGATTTTGTTAAGAACTCAAGACTCAAGAATTGAAGGTTGTGAAGCCGTGAATTTTGTTACTCAATACTCGCAATGGAGTTGTAACTTTATTAATTTGTTTGTTTTCTAATATATATCATATATTTATTTATTTGGACTTTGGATTGTTTGGATTTTGGACTCAAGAGCTACTTAAKTATTACATTTATTTGTTTGGATATTTTGTTTTGTTAAAATGGATATTTAATCTAAAATTGTAAATTATATATGTTTTTTTAAGTTTGATATTTTAAAGTTCATTAAAGGCCCAAACCGCCTTTTCGTGGTCTGTTTGACCGCTCTGGACACTTGATGTCAAACCGCTTGGTTTGAAATTTTTATAAATCGCCATTACGGTTTGGTTTGTGGTCTAAGGGGTTAAACCGTCCAAACCAGACCGCAAACACCCCTAATAAATCTACAGTTTTGTCGTTAGACCTACGCCTTTTTTGTAAGGGTTATTGATTGCGCCTCGTATTTATATTGGTTTTTCTTCTTATTAGTTCTTTTCGTTTCTTTTGGCGAAAGTGCACCACCTTAACGCAAGTCATTAGGTAGATTGAATTCCATTGAGACGTAACTCTATACTTTAAGTAGCTAAAACTACTAATAAATACCTAAACTACTTAAAAGACCCTAATTCTTGAAATGGTGAACGAGGGCATAATAAACCTACCCTCAGATTCGTCTTTTGGGTATGATCAAAATGTGGTAAAGCGATGAATTGTATCGATTTCTTTTAAATTTTCAATTGTTAATGAAACTATATCAGTAGCAAATTAATTAATTACAGATAAAATATCAAAGTACGTGAATGTGATACCATATCACTTTTCATTCTTGACTTATTTTCATGTTGATATGTGTTTACTTGCAATCATACCCAACCTCACACAAGAAAGTGTCATGTTTCGTTACTTAGAGTTGTGTTCACGTAAAACCAATATGTTTTCGTGAGATTCGTAAGACCATTTTTTTACACTTGAAACTTCACAACTAAACTTCACAGTAAAAACACTGTGAAGGTTACCTTCATAACGTTTTGCTGTGAAGTTTCAAGTGTAAAAAAATGGTCTCACGAAAACAGGCTGGTCTCACGTGATCTCAAGTCTTATTACTAATCTTCATTATAAAATTCACTCCCTATTTTAAATACCTCTTAGAATTCAAGTTGAGAACTTATTATTGCATATATACAACTTACTGAAGCTGTACATTGGAACTCCATGAAACTAACTTATAACCAACTGATAAACACATTTAAATACACAGGAAACGTTGCAACTTACTAATACAACATAATACTCCATATATTAATTTTTTTTTTTGAGAAATTGCATTAATTTTTCATTCTCGATATACAATAAAATTTTACATCTCATTATATTACACAAATACACAACTAATTGATCATATGAAAACATAACTTCATATCCAAATAATTTTTTTTGAGCTTTTCGAACTGATAAAAGTATAGGTATAATTTTGTGGCATTGCTACAAAATGACGGGGTAAAACATAAGAGCATCTTCAAGGGAATTCTTTAAAATTTCATTAAAATGGAGAATTAAAAAATTCAAATATTTAAAGAGAATTACAACGTTAATTATATTATTTAAATATCTTATACATCTAATAAAATATCATTTCTCTCTCCTAAATATTTAACATCGAGGTTTTTTATTGGTCGAATATACTAAAAACTTATTTATATCTCACACTAATCAATTTTTGGGAGTTCTCCAAATTTGGAGAATTTCATGTCTCTCGTTGGAGAAAGTTTTGGGAAATCTATTAAAACAAAATCTATAAACTTTTTTCTTTCTATTTCCCCCATTTTAGATAGAGAACCTGGTATGAACATCTTTACAAGAACTTCTTTTTTTTTTATTAACCTGGATATTCACCATGTTATGCGAGCTGATTAATCTCAGGGCGACCACCTGCTTTGCAGATAACCCGGAGTCACCGTATTTGAACCTCTTTGGCCATAAGAGGATTTTTATTCCTCTTTGAATTTGAATCTGGGACCTCCTGATACTTTTGATCTTTGGAGCCAAGCTCAAAAAAAAAAACTATTAAAATATCAAATTACACAAAATTCAAATTCAAATGAAGAACCACAATACTAAATGTACAAAATGGAGTTCTGTTATGAAAAGGAGGGAGACGATTTGAAACCTTGATGAAATAGAAGATTTGAGGAATGGCGTGATTCTAAAAAGACCCATCAAAACTTGCTCTTTTCCCTCACTCGTCACTGCCAATTCCCACCTTTTCTTGAACCAACACCAACACCAACACCAACACAAAGTGTAGAAAAGCATCCACAAATTGTGATTCAGCCTTTCATTCGTTGAATACCCCTTTCGACCATCTTCGATGCACATAACACCTTCCTTTCTATTCTCCTTTTTCATCATTCCAATAGCCCACGCCTTCATTCTTCCTTCTCTTTGTATCATAAAAGCCTCCCTTTTCTCTCTTTCTGTTTCTAGAACCAACCCCTTTAATGATAAACCCTAAACCCATCTCCTATTTTGATTGAATTCAAAAACCCATTTCAATTATGCAAAAGTTTTGAACACCCATCTCAGTTTTGGTGCTAACTTAAACTTATTGAAATCAGAGATGGTTGGGAGTGGTAAAGTGGAGATGATTACTAGCAAGGGTTGTTCGAAGGTGTTTTCAGATGTAACCTGTACATTGGGTACTAATTCTTTCAGAGATCTTCAACCTCCACGTCCTTCGATCGCTACTTCTGCCTCTCTTCTTCATTCGACATCGAATTCTCCATTTTCTGGTCTTGTTATTTGTGTTACTGGTTTATCCAAAGGTGATCATCACATCTTCCTTCAATCTGTCTATTGTTTTGGAAGCTTGATTTCCCTAATTTGATCTCTTTGATGTGTTATATCAATTTGTCTTTGTAATTGTATTGATCTTGGTCACCAGATCACTCATATCTTGGTGTTCTTGGCCATCTTGACTCATAGTCAAACAAAAAGTCAAATTTCAATTTCGCATTCACCATGACCCTGTTCTTGGTTTGAAATTTAAACGAAATGGGATATCAATAGGTTGATTTCGAAACGAAACCCGAAAGAAATCCCTCTAAATTTGCTTAATTTGGAATCGTGAAATTGGTCTGTGGGAGTTCAGAATTCAAGATGATGATGGTCTTTGGACTTGTTCTTGTTTTCTTATTCATTGATTCATATATGAATCAACCAACTCTTGTTGTTTGGATTCATCTACTTGTATCACATGTGAATTAGAAAAAATCTTGCTGGCCAAATCATTGACTTCTTCTTGATGTTAACTTACAGAAGCAAGAAAACAAGTGATGGATGCAACTGAGAGATTGGGTGGTCAATACAGTCCCCATTTGAACCCTCATTGTACACATTTGGTGCTTCAGATATCCTTTTCAATCTTCAGTTTGATGTTTGTCTTGTCATCTTCGGTCGATTTTGCGCATGCAGTCGTATTCGCTTCCATAAAAACAATACGTTTGTTCTAAGATTACTCGAATAATGATGCCAAATCTTGGCCGGCCGTTGGTCAAATATCTATCATTCAATAAAAACAAAACGAAAGAGCTGAATTGATACCGTCAATCTGCATTATTTTAAGCTCTTGTTGAATAACTTAACGCATATCTACAGCTCCTACGAACGTAAATCTTCGTATGCATTGAAGCACGAAGCCTGTCTCTTTATCGTTACACTTGGATGGTTTGTCGATAGTGTAAGAAGAAACGGTAAAATATTTCCATTTCTAATGCTTCTTTCGTTCCAATTTTAATCTGTGAGAATATGTGAAACCCCATTAGATTACCGATACCACCCCTCCCCTAAGATGGAGGCTAGAATTTGACTCTGATATCATGAAAGAATATGTGGAACCCCATTAGATTACTCTCCAAAAGAGCTCTTGAGGAGAGAAGAGAAGTTCCAACATATATTGAGAAAAAAGGGTCCAAGTCTAGCCGACATGGAACTCCAACATAATATTTTTTCTAACACAACCATTTATATTTCTCTACAAGTAAGCAAGCATAAGATTCAAAGCTTAACATGTCCCAAGCTCGGAACGGTTCATTTCTGGGGCAGCACGGGCTGCGTTCTGTTATTTGAATTAAAATCGATCGTTCTTTTTCTTGTGTTCAGTGAGATTAAACGAATCGCTATACGTTGTCAAGAGTTTCGGAGAAAACCATATGGCGAACAATGATCTAAACAGGATCAGTTTCGGGAATTCTTGTCGTCCCGTCGCTATGCTTGAAAATGCCAAACAATCCAACTTCATCCAAAGATCAAGATTACATTCATCAGAAGACCAAAAAAGAAGAGGTTTTAATTATTCGGGTCAAACTGTTTACATCGATCCCGACATTTCTGCTGAGCTGCAGAACAAGGTATCGTATACGATCTTATTCAGTTTGTGCATGATGTCATTGTTATAAGTACGTTGTAGAGCTTTTAGGTTATGTAACGGCTGCTCGATTGTGCATTTCGTTAGGTTGTCGAGGTTGCTCGTGAAGAAGGTGCTTTGCTAGCGAACCAGTGGTTGATCGGTCACAATGCAACTCATGTTGTGTGTGAAGGTTCTTCGGTTCGAAAATATCTTGGTCACTCCAATAATCTTGTTACAGTAAGTTTTACTGTATTTTTACCTATGATTGTTGTTGAAAATCTTATGACAGTTATTTATCATCGGTGTGTTTTTACTGATCGTAAATGATGTGCCTCAGCCCCTATGGGTTCTGAAGACCACAAAGGAGTTACGGTCACAGAGGCTCGTCCATTTGTCCGCTGACTTGGCACGCCATGTAGGAATGATGCTCGGGGGCGTCCCAGGTGGCATCGATCTAAAGGTATGTTCCAAGACCTTCATACAAGATCGAGTTCACTCCGTCGAGCAACACCGGCACTCGAAAGCGTAGTCTAGTACATGAAATTATGTAAATGACCCTATTTCAAGTTCTTAGTTGATGAATCTGAAATATTTTTCGCTCTTGACGTGTTGTAGGATGGCGAGAGGGTCGATGGTTGTCGAGATGAACCTGAATCGAGCCTCAAAGAGAAGCAAGCCATCGTGATCCTTGCAAAAAAAGGGGTCAGGAATCGTCGTGTGCAGGTAAAAGCCTCAACAGTATCTTAACTTTTCGCTTTGTGTTATCATCGCGAAACTTGAGTTCACATTGTGATTACAGGCGTATCAAACACCGACAAAACCATTGGCTCGAAACGTCCTTCTTGATTCGATCAATTGGAGTATGTCCGAGCCATCAACAACCGCATCTATCTGTATGGACTCATTCAGTTTCGATGATTCTAAGACGTCTGAATTTGTCAATGCAAATGAAAGTACAAAGGAACCCGAAGCTTGTTTCGTTAATTTCTTGCGCCCACTCTCCGAAAGGTCACTTCTAACAATCGTATCTTCTTTCACTTTGTGTCGACATGCGTAGGGGCGTTTCTGAGTCCAAGTTTACCCCAAGCCTACTCCGTTAGTCTAGCCTCGACTAGAGATGCACAAAAAAGCCCAAGCCCAAACTATACCAAAAGAGCCAGTAAGGCAAAGTATTTTTACAAGGCCCGGTTAAAGTCTAGCCCGAAAAAGGTCTAAAAAAGCGGCCTAAAAATCCATTTTCACATCCAAAGCCCAGACTTTTAATAGCCGGTTAAGAACGGGCTTGGAACACGGGACTTGTGCATGTGTAGTCTCAACTCGTCTTACCCGTGTCTTTGTTTCGTGTAGGGAAAAGAGTGAGCTAGTTTTCGGAAACCATTTCATTACGATACTATTTCCGGTGGACCGGTTTCTCGAGATGGGACCTTGTTCAAGGACGTTTTTCAACGATGCGGGGTTCACACGTTCACAGTTGTTAGATCACATCTACACATTTTATCAGGTAACCAAACAATCTCGATCATAGATCAATCATTTCACCAACACTCGAGACGCAAATAACATGCATCATTTGTTGTTTACGGTATTTTTAGGAGAACCTATCAATGTCTGAGATAGAATTAGCGATCCACACTGACTCAAGGCATGCTGACCGGCTAAGGTCATTGTACTCGAGCAGCGAAGCTGCAAAGTGCGGTTTTGTGGAACTCAAACGCATCGAACTCTTAGGGAGTCGCAAAAGCTTTGAAATGCTCAAGCGTGTACCTGGAGACAACAATAATAACGTGTACGAGTTGTTGACACGAGCATAATCAGCAAACCCGTTGACAAGGAGTCTAGACCACGGGCAACACAAATGTAGCTTGTACCAGCCTACCAGGCTTGTCAGATCCATCACATCCTTTCGTTCTTTTTCAAATCAGACAAAATGCATCAAAATATAAGGAATTTTTCCTCGATTCTTATTGCATTTTGATGCATTTTTCCTTTCCAATTTAACTCACATGTATAAACATTAAGAAATAAAGGTTCTATTCAGGTCCAAGTACATCCTGTCGTCCCCGACCCACCTTAAGGTGGGATATATCGGGATCCTGTGGTTTGGTTCTAGTTATGCATATTATATGACGAACAAAATGTACAAACGACGCTAAAAAACCAACCGCTTCAAATTTAGCAATCTTACGACCATAAACAAGGTAATTCCCACAAACTGAGAGCAAACATGCCAAACTGAAAACGAAACTTGCATAATGCTCGAGGTTGGAAATTTTACCTCCGAAAATAGGGCTAGCAATCAACAAAAGTCTCAAAGGTACGACCTCACATGGCCGAGATCTGTTCTACAGGTTTAGGCCTATATATTCTTCATTTTTAAGGGGAAAAAGGTCTCTTAGGTTCATCAAAATTGCAAGAACAGCTGCAGTTCTGTAATAAGCCATTGCCCATAATATTTGTAGACAAAATAATATAAGTTTCCCAATTTTAGATTTAGTTTGACTTACCATATGGAATCTGTTGACTTTCTAGCCGATCTTGAGCTTTTGGAGTCGCTGGAGCTCATAGAGCATGAGTAGAGCAGCCGAGTCGAATGAACTCTTCTTATCTGCTCGTGGATCTCCGGTGAGTTCAATAACTCCATAATCAGGAATCGTCAAGCTTATATGAGACTCAAAGCTATTAAACGCTGTTCTTTTCTCGACCCCTTCGCCAATTTCAATCAGAGATCTGCAAAAATCATGCTTCGTTTTTAAAGCCACAACTCGAATAAAACAATAAGAAAACTGGCTTCTGCAAATAATTTGAAGCAAATGTTTACTAACCTTGATTTCTGCTCTGAAGGCGTTAAAGTAGGGATCGGCCATTGCATTTTTTTGCACAGCTCATAAAGAGCGGTTCTTGGTCCTCCCTTGTTCATATTGATCGACTTTAGGACTGCCATTGAAATAAGGTTGTTCAAATAGTCACCAAATTGGTCATTTTATCATACTTTTGCAGAAATAAGGGGAATAAACAAAAAGAACGGCTCTATCGGGCCCCACCTAGACCCTACTTTCAAGTGGGTATACGGGTTAGTTTCGTTTGGTTTGGTTATGCGTGACTGTTTGTTGTTTTGTCCTAATAAATGAACAAACTTAAATGATGATTACCTGGGATTTCAACCTTAGAATTGGATTGTTCCTCCATTGCACATTCATTAGCAAGGGAGGCATCTACAGGTGGCGGAGGATCTAAGAGCATTATCTTCATATTCCTGACAAGATCCGGCTTCGACGGGGTCGTGTCACCTTTTTCATTGTTTTTATCATCTACTTCCCCATCTCTATTTTCTTGACCTTGGTTCTTCCTCGAAATTCCTCTTTTCTATTGAACAAAAAGACATTAACATGTCAAAGACAACATTAATCATATAATTAATGAGCAATGCCAAGTAAGTAATAGAAAGGAATTTGAACCTCGAGCTCTTTTAACAACTGAAGAGCGGCTTGACCCCTTGCAATTTTCCTGGTTGCACCGCTGCCCTCACCAGTCAATAAGGCATCTTTGAGTTGCAATCGTAGCTCAGCTATTACAGTATCACCGTTGATTCTACATGTGTCTTTGGTGAAATAACCCATCGAGTCGCATAATTCCATCAATTCACGTAAAGGAGGAAGCTCAAGTTTATCGGGTGTTACTATTGGAGATAGTAATGGCTCAAAGATTCTCCAAACTTCATCAAGATTGAGTTTAGTATCAAGCAATATGGCACCTGCGATACTCTCAACTAGGTCGCCCAGTGCCTATATATGCGTCAATGAAATAGACAAATCAAAAATGCGTTAAAAAAACATAATATAATTCTTGAATTCATCTGTGCGTGTTTATGTAAGAAATACATGATAAAAGCATCATGCACCTTCGGGCTTTTCTTGGTTTGGAGGGAGTTCGTATCGGTGGAAGAGGTAGCTACAAACTTCTCATACTCAGCAATCTGACTTTGGAGATAACCAGAGCGATACTGGAGGTGGGGATGAAGATTCCGTCTCACAGCAGCATAAGCAAAATTTTCGTTATTAACAGAGGCTGACCGTAAGTCCGTCAATTCTCCAGGATCAATATCCTTGTGCTTCTCGTAAAGATACCAAGTAATAAGTAGGTCCAATACCGAGTCACCAAGAAACTCTAACCTCTATAAAAAAGCATGTACAAAAATAGGAAAAATAAAGTCAATATAACCATGGAATACATTTATTCCCTTCGTACGCAAGCAAAAAAATCTAAATTTTATCGAGTGAGCAATTACCTGATAACAGTATCCAACTCCTTGCTCTTGATCAGATGCATGTGTGATAGCTTCCAACAACAAACCCTTAACCCGAAATTCATACCCAAGCTTCGACTCTAAATTCTTGATGACGTTCAGTTTTGGAGCGAACTTGTGGAGTGAAGCAATTCGAACGGCTTCATCGATGCGTGATTCATCAAGCTCGCAACTTACACTGAGCCATTTCATACAGCAAATAGCACCGGTCAACCCACCGGCAACATAATAAGCTCCAATTAGAGCCTCAACACAGTCGGAGATCGTCTTTGAGCCCATCCATCGGTGGCCCATATCACAACACTTCCCGATCAAATTTTGTGCATCTTTGGAATGGTATTTGCTGTGGATAGGCACTTCTATCGTATCAACACCATGTTTACAAGATTGAAGCCGTAATGGAAGCTGGCCTGGCGCAGTCCACCTAGTAGGATCAAATGCACTATCTCTTATGTAACCCTGTAACATTCCACAAAATTCTTTCAGATATTCGTCTAGGGTCAAAGATTTAAAAATAAAGCAATTCAGCTATATGGGTCGTATTAAAGTGATACATGTGTACCAAATCTATGAAATATACAGTCATAATGCATATAAGACAACCTTTACAGCATACCTGTAATTGACGGTTGATTCCCAACTCGTACAAGGTCGAGTTACAAACTTGCCATGACCGCTGAGAAGAAAGCTGCCCTTCATGTTTTGTCGAGTGTTTAAGATAGAGATCACAGCTCACTGCATATTTTAGCACTGAATCACCGAGCAACTCCAATCGTTCCATAGAGAAACTCTCGTTGCATCTGAGAGTGGTGATGGCTTCCAAAATCTAAATGAAACAAGAATCACAATATTAATGGGATGGCAACGGTCCCCAGAAAATCAGGACTGCTGATGTTAGTTAACCCACTCAAAGAACATTAATAAAACTAAAGCACTGACCAATGAGCTTGAGATGCGAAAGTCAGTAGAATGGCCAGTAACCTCTTTACGAAGCTGGCTAGCCAACATTAATGACTCGAGTCGGTGCATTAATGATGGCAGCAAATAGAACGATTTCACAACATCCAGCCTTGCATTGACGACGACTAGAAGTTCTGGTGGTATACGGACATGATTTCTCAGCCTGTCAGTATTCACCTTACAGCTCTCGGCCCGTATTTTCTTTCCATGTAAAATGCCTTCAAGATCAAGAAAAAAACCGTCAGTCAAGAGAATTATAATTTGTTATAACCAAAAACATCATAAGCTTCAACGAACCTTCACCATTGAAGTCCACAAGAAGATTATGTGCCCTATGGCTTTGTTTTAGCAGCAACAATCGTTGTTTTGGGTAGGCTAGAACAATTCCATATTTCTTCTCGTAATAGTTGCTGAACGATGAAAATCTTGGAGGATTCGAGCCAGTATCTCCATCAAAAGGACTTTCAGCAGTTGCATCTTGAAGAAGCTCAAGAACAGAATAGATCTTCCCAGAGTGAATGGCCAAAACTACGACATTTTTGACCTCATCTTTATGAATAGATTCGTTTGCGAAGTGAACCATATCGATGCTATCAAAATCGGTCATAACTGAATCTATGTTCTCTAGTGTTGTAATTCCGCCATCACGGGACTGCTGCTTGGCCCTGAACTGGGAATTTGTCTTCACAAAGTCAACCACAGATGCACAAGAGTCAACCTCCTTCCAATTGATCGTCAAGGGTTCTAACAACTCCAGAGGCAAGAGCAAGTAAATGTATGATGGGTTCCAGAGTGTTTGGTCAGTTTGAAGCAAGAATTCTCTTGCCAATCCTGATTGTTTTGTGCCGATATACAATTTCCCAAATATCCCATTGAAGAATAACGCTTGGAAGCACTTTGCTTTTGCTACCTAACAAAAGAAACCAAAAAAGATGGCATGAAAAGTAAGAAAAGATAAGAGGTCAATAGTTACATAAACAAATTTGTTAACAACTGGAGCAACATAGACACAAATACACGCGATATGGGATTGGTGCGGGGCAATTTGGCCTTTTCTTCACAAACTAAAAGTTAAGATAAAAAATCTAGAGTAAGGGCCTGCTTGTTAGCAGCTTAATGAGCTTAATGGGACTCGCAGCTTATTCGTTTGGTAGTGGCTTAATGATATAAAAAATGGCTTATTTAGTAAGCTTATAGGGGGGAGCTTTATGCAGAAAGCCAAGTTTTTCCAAACCTGCCTCTTGCAACTAAAAAAACACGCTTCTTTCATCTATGAAAAAACCTCTCAAACAAAAACCTTCCTAATCTATATGGACAAATTAATCCACACAGACAACTTTATACATACCGGGCTTGATGAACAACCAACCAAACAGCCCTTAAAACTTACATCTTATGCCTAAAAAAAAGGAAGCAAGGCAATGTAGCGAATTTTTCCTTGGAGTTTTTACACCAATATGGGCTGCAGTAAGTAGAAGCAAAAAACACAATAAGACTTGAACTAATGTTTTTTTTCGGTTCATATTTCATTCATGAATTATGAGATAATCTTGTTCTTCTGTCAGTTTTCAGAATTAGATATACATACATACATACATATGAAGAGACATGCACACAGGCTCGTATATACAATCTTTTAGAATTGCTGGATCCTAAAATCCACATATCTTCACATTTTGGGATCCACAATCCCATTAAAAGGAATCGTCATTTCTTCCCTGCCATGATAACAACAACAATCTCTCCTATTAGTGATTTCCCATATTAATGATAACCTAATTAAACCTATAATAACCGCTATAAAAGTAGCTTATGATCCACCATACATATACTTGTCTTTAATTTGAATTCTTGGAAAGCTACTAAAGATATTATTTCTGATACAGTTACTCCTTTAAGAGTGATGACATTTAGGAATAAATTTAGCAGCCGACCAACTTTACTAATTATCTTTGATTGTATAACATTACAATTAGAGCAAATTGTAAATTTCGTCTATAGTCTATTCCTTTATCTGCAGGCATAGCCACTTCTTTGTTTTGCATTGGTATCCACAATAGACAATTTTTAATGATTTAGTCCCTGAAATTATACAACATCAGTTGTTTGCTGTTAAGTCTCGTCTTGTGCATAAAATGTGCAATTTTTTAAGGCTTTATTTTATCAGATTAATGTTTTATTTTGGGTGAGAGATTGAAAAATTGGTAAAAGAAGACAAAAATATCCTTTTTATACCACATGAGATGCACATGTGACTAATATTAACGATTCAGGGACCAAATCGCTAGAAAAACGATTTTTGAACTGTCAACGCAAAGAAAAAGTAAATACAGTAGACCTGCAGAGAGCAGACTAAGGAATAGTCCACAAACGAAAATTGTAATTTACTCCTACAATTATTATGGGATGAAAGTAGTAACAATTTGAAGTTAGTGTTAAACACAAGATACTGCACAAAGATTTACTAAAACCTGTTCTGCATCGAGATGCAATTCCACAGATGAAGAAACCTTGCATTTTACAGACTTCGAGACCAAGTACAACTCCATCTCGATATTTCCCACATCATCATCGAGCTTCGATCCGGTCAAAAGAACGAAACTTGAATACTTCACATTGACAATGCTACATGTGAAACTGATTTTATAAGCATAAAAATCAGCACTGTCATCGTGTTTGTCGCCCCAAGTACCCGACAAAGCACGAATGGGGGTGGTCCCATGTAACTCCTTCCTCTTTGTAGTCCCTATGATAACAAAACAACATCAAAGAGTTTCATGGAGAAAAAAAGCTTCCTATTTCATTTATAAATCAAACTACATGAGCCCAGTATATCCCACTCAGGGGGGGGGGGGGGGGGGGGGGGGGGGGGATGTACGCAAACCTAGCCCTAAAGAGTAGAGTGGTCGTTTCCATGCGACTCCCAGATAGTGAAAAGTGTGTGAAAGGGAGAAAAACAAATATGCTAAAAATTGAAAAGCCAGATAATAGTAAACAATAGCAATAAACCTAGAAAGAGAGATAAACTAGATATGCGTAAGCAACGACAGTATAATTTCTATTTCAGTCGTATGATGTTCTATATCTGCTTGGATTACCTGCACCAGAAGATGGTTCTTTCATACTTTTAGTAGATTTGTTCGCTGAAGGATCTTCATTGTGAAGGACTAGATGGTCGGTGAGCGCTCCCATTTGGTGCAACCTTTTGCAGGCCTCCAAGCAAACAAGCTGTTTTGAAAGATTTGAAGTCTTACACAGAGGACCAGTTATTGTTTGCAAAGCAGCGTTCGGCGGTAAAGTCAGGTTGCACTGGTGTGAACCTTCCACCAGTAAGAATTGGAATTTTGGTTTCGGAGCGTAGTACCTATGGAGCAAATAAGATATTTTAGAATTTGAAAAGCAAAGTGCGAAATATCTAAGGACAAAGGTAATACCCCCTGCGTCCCAAAAATAAATGTCCGCTTTAAGAAAAAGGCACACAGTTTTGGAAATTTGTAAATATTACACTTTTTAATTAACAAAATGCCAATTTTACCCATAATAATAGAGGGAGTAATAAATTTCCCCATCTCATAATTAAGGGTAGAATTTAAATGTGGCATTTACTTTTGGGACAAACTTAAATAGAAAAAGAATCATACTTGTCGCCTGGGAGTTTTGCACAATATCGATGAATGAGACTGACACTAGAATTGGCCGTGACAGAAGCTCCCGTTGCCTCGACACTGTACGTTTCCATTTCTTTGAAGTTATAAGGTTTTACGGTGCATGTGTTAGGGTCTCGCGTTTTAGCACTGTCCATCATGGAATACTCACTCCGAATGATGTCACAAACATGTTCTCTTTGCTTTGCATTTCCCCTGTTGGATACATCTTATAAGTATATAAAAGAACTTACTTGTCGATAACAGTTTCCTATGTTCAAGGTTTGTTTATGAGAAGAATGCATTTGATTACCTCTCGAGCATTAGGATGAACTGGGAGCCACTTTGACGAGCCCGTCCTCGTGATTGGACATTGCTACGAACCGTTTTAGGGATATCGAAACGGATCACTGTTGAACAATTCGGCACATGAATCCCCTCCTCAACAACATCCGTAGCAAATAGTAGATTCACCTAATAGAGAATCACATTCATTTACTCTTGATCACTTGAGACTCGAAGAGAAGGGAAAAAGAACAAAGGAAGTTTATGACCACATTCAAAAATGACATCAAGAGGGATGCACATGTAAAGATGTATCCAGCTTAAAGCATGACACCTATTCACTTTTATGATTTTGCCATGCTCTTGGATGTGCCCATGTGACTTGTGAGTCTATAATATATATATATATATATGCATATATATATATATATATGCATATATATATATATATATATATATATATATGCATATATGCACATTGGTTATTAAATAAGCCTCCAAGATAGAAGCTCCTTGTAGGGCCATCCTCAGACCCTAACACACCAAACCAAACAAGTTATATATATCCCACCCACTAAAGGGATGCAACACCAGGACTTCACGGGGGTTAACCAATCTAGTACCACTCTCGCTCAAACACGCTTAACAACGGAGTTTTGATGAGATCTGGTGCGTTGGTGCTGGACTATGGACCATTACATGTGTATGGAAAATTCTCTTCCACAAGCATATTCATCATGAGAGATGTCTCAACATGTGAGGTTTCAAATATGTAAAGACATATACAAACATTTGTATATACACCCAACTGGTCCCTCCCCTCCCTCAACCGAGAAACAACATGGAACAAAATGTAATGCAACATTCTGACTATTAAGGTCGAACAGAAGACTTAAATATTGATGTATTGCCATCAAGGACTTGGATTTCAAACAAAATCTGATTAATGCATCAAAAATTAAAGCAACACTGGATAGAATTGAATTGGGATTTCAAACAGGATAAATATACCTTCCCAGACCGAAAAGATTCAAGAGTCTCTTTTTGCAGTTTTGCTGACATTGCATCGACCGAAGTTTTACTACCAGTCAAATATGAAACTTCCAAATGAGACAAGTCTCCAACTCTCTTCACAATTATGTCAATAACTTTAGCTGTTATAATTCTCTCTACAAAAATGAGGCACAATACTTTTGTAGCTTCCCTGAAAGTGGAAACACTAGAATAGTTGTTAGAAGCGTTAAATCTCAATTTTCAACTTATCAAAAGAAGTATGTATGTTCCCCTTCCATCCCAAGTTAAATGAGCGTTCACCCAGATCCAAAAGTTGATAAATCCTTCAGGCTTTGGACCCTTTAATTACTCATTATGATCCTTTTAATCGAAGTTCACATGATAGACTGAATTTTCTTTCTGTACATCTATATATCCAACATTATTGTTTCCACTTATCAAGATAACTTATAAATAGTTGTAATAAACTACGATATCGTGGTTATAACATAGTTATATCACACATTATTGGATGATAAATAAGTTTACATTTTAATAAAATAAACTCGATTTTAGAAGAATGATAGATAAAAAATAAAATACCATATTTTCCAAGAATATCAACTAACAGAAAGAATATTTTGTTTTTGATGTATAAAAATCAGTGTATCATTCACTAAAAGTTATACCCAAACAACACACAAATGCATGATTAGTTACTATGTTTCCCAAATCCCAACAGTTACCCATTTGAGATTATGTTTGTAAATATTGTGCTCACAAGGTAGACTTCACTTTACACCACAAAATGTCAATTTAGCCATAATGTGAGCCATGATTTTCATCAATGTGTATGAATTTAACCAAGGGAAATTTTGTATTACAGAATAGAAACACGATAATCATTTACACAACCCATAATAAATTTAAATTTGTTTCAAATAAACCCAAGAAATGAAAATGTTTACCCAATTTGACCCTTCGTGAAGAATTTAGACAAAAATTAACCCCTCTAGTTACTAGTATAATTACACGTAATATATTTGTATGTTTGATGAATGAGGAAATATATGTTACCCAAATGACCGGAAAAGTTGAAAGAGTTGATATAGCTTCGGTGAGATATGGCCAGCTGTTACCATATTTTCATAATCACATCCAGCATCTAAAATATTTTCATGGCCTGAGAAAATAACACGAAATTTAAATTAAAATAACTCAGAAACTACTCATTCCACAAATTCACAATACTATTTACTATGAAGGATGCTAGTTAATGAATAAACAAACACAAAAAGGAAAAAGATTATAAAATAAATAGAAGGTACCAGATAACATACCATTTGGCAAAGATTTCCCAATAATAGATAATGCTTCCTCTAGAAAAGAAAAACACTTTGATTGGCTTTGCTGAAAGGAATAATGTTCTTTAACGGCTTTTGGGGCTTTCGCTATACAAATTTTAACAGCCTAGAAAACAATAAATCATATCTGATATAAGAAAACCAACTCAAGCCCAAAGAAATGCATATACAAATGCTATTGGTTCCTAGAATTTACTCTTTAAATTGCATTAAAACATACCTCATAAGCACACAAAAGGCCCAGTTCATCAATGCAATAAATAATCTTAGCGTGATCATTAGATAACCTCTTTCGCAGAAGCTCATGCTTTTCGTCGGTATCTTTGCAACTACTTTGCAGTGACACTTGCATCTTCATCAGTTGTGCTTCAAACTGTGGGAAAAGACACAGAAAAAGATGATTTGATTCTCAGGGCTCATTTTGTTTATTGTAAAAGAATGTTGGGATTTTTTAAATATTCACCTTCAATCTTGAGAATTCCAGTTCGGCTTTTAGTTCTGAATGGGAAACCTTGAATGGCTGGTAGAAACAATAGATATGCGAGGCAGATGGGATGGCATTCTCCAGCTCTGTCCTGTTTCGTAACGTGTAAACCTTGCAAAATTCACAACAGAACTTTACTCAACATCGTTACCATTAATTTCACATTCCAAATTAACTTTCAATAATAAAGGGTTAAATTGTAAAATGACATGTTACTACCAGAGAATCCAAGACACTTTCAAGCGCTGTTATCTGTGATTCACAGTCTTTGGCCGAAGAGACACCTAATGCAGAAATCATATTACAAAGATGCAGAGTTATATGTTCATTTGCATAACCTTTGGAAAATGTGAGCAAAATTATAAGACAAAAAGATTTAAAGAATAATACTTGAAGAAACTCCAACCTCCCAACCCCTCCCCCTCCACCGTTGTCTAACCATGATACGATTTTCAAGAATTTGACCGTTTTACCATCTGAAAGATCTTGTGATTCTTTAAGGGATTTCGGGCCCATTTGTCATTTTTTCTAATTTCTGGCTTCTTGCTCATGCTTTGCCTTTTATTTGGCTCTTTCAACTGTCATTACATTAAGGTTGAGGTCTATAACTTATCATGTCTGTCTGATGCATTTTTGGGTACCAAATTGGAATTAGAAATGTATTAGGTCATCTCACGAACATAACTTTCTTAAAAAGGAGCTAGTCATAAAAACAAGATCTACCACCCATCTGTGGCCTGCCATTCACGTTCTCAGCCTGCATCGTTAAATATAATCCGTGTATTTCAAATCATATTGAGCAACGCAGAGTGAGCATGCAAATGTTGAGCCAATCATGGAAGACAAAGCCTGCTTAAATTATGCCTACCTTGTTAAAAAAGTGCAAAGCCATTTACAACCCGCGAGGTGACAAAATAGCATGCTTAATCTTCGTTGTTGTAATCAACTTTCAAAGTCTTCTAATCGAAAAGCATAAAAAACTAAAAAAAACCCAAACCTTTTTTAGTAACTGGGGATGCAGTCATGCCAAAAACCTTTGGCTTGTTCATGGATTTGAGGTAAAATTCCTTCACAAAAAAAGTTAATACCTCAGCAACATATTTTTTCATCACAATCACATATATGCAACACAGTGATAGCAATAGATGATTACCTTCATTATGCTTACATAAGGATGATTACCACTAGCACGATGACACTCGTCAATTATCAATAAACATATCATTTCAAAATTAACAAATGCATTCCTCAAGGCATCCAACAAGATTTGAGGTGTCATAACCATTACCTGGGTAAGAAATGAAATGGGAAAACGATAAGAACATGCCACTCTTACAATTTTGTAATAAAAATGAAAGCAAACAACAGGAGCTTCTAATCTTTCATAAAAATTAGCTTTGAGAGTGAAAAAATTTAGAAACGAACTCACATGACTCTTGTTTGTCTCGTGTTCCCACACGGCAGCATCCCATTCATCAACCTTCTTTCCATCAAGATTTTCACCAGATCCCACTTTAGACCCGTGGTAAAAGTCAACCATGAGATCAGTGTTTTCCCTGAGAACCTGACATTGCTGCAACAAAAAATGATAAAACTTAGGGGGCATTTGGTTCGCAGAATGATTTCTGAAGTAATAGAATTTGTCAAAGGATTGGAATCTGGAAGGAATTGGAATGGAATGTTATCAGGTTTGACCAAGTGTTTGGTTGGCAGGAAATGGAATGTAGTCTATCAAATGAATTGGAATCTGTCCGTTTGGTTTACAAGGAATTGGAATGGAATAATGGAAATTGACAAAAATGCCCTTTCTTTGATATTTTTTTTTATTTTTCAAGTATAAACAATGATAAAGTTTACATTTAATCTGAAAAAGAGTATATCTAAATTACCATTGTTTCCATTAATTTGTTTTTAACTTAGGTATTTAAATTATAATGAAAAAAATTAAAAATTATTTGACCAGTTTTTTTCCTTCTTCTTCCCCATCTTAACCCTTTTTGTGAGTCCATTTTTAAGGAGAACAGATGAAGATGGAAAAACAAAAGAAAGTGAAAGGAGCATCTCAACAACATATAACTGAGAAAGGGTAAAACATAAAGAATACACCCATGAGATTTCAAGTTTTGCTTCTTAAGGAGAAACAAGACATAATAATCAAGGGAAGGAATCAAACACTTCCTATGTTCAATACAAGAGAGACATTTTGACCAAGGGGTCAAACCTGATGATATCAAAATTGTTTAGGATATCATACCATCAATATGTTTTATGATGATGATGCTATTTATAAACTTATTGAAGTTTTCTCCACAACTCAAAAGGATCCACAACAAAAGTTGAAGAGTCAGAAGATTAGTTCAAAGTACCCAATACATATAAATAACAATGAACAGATTGGTGATCCAATCACAGTATACCTGTTCGACAAGATTTCGAGTTGGGGCCAAGAAAATCACCAATTTCTTTTCAGATGGTTGTTTTCTAAGAGAATGTACAACTTCTTTGATGATCATGACGGCTATCATTGTTTTTCCGGCTCCGGTGTCAAGATGTGCTATGGTATTTCGCTGCATAGCCACCTTAAACACATCCAACTGATACCTAAATTCAACATTAACAAAAACAATATCAATGAAAAATACAAATTTAACCAACGACAAACATTGAAATAAGAAACCCAATTTAAATTTCAAAAGAAACTTACTCTCTGGGAGTCAAGTTAGGTTGGGGAATGATCGTGGCTTCCGAACTTGGTCAAATAAAGCAACATTAATCAGAACATAGTTTCAAATGTTACTAACATTTCTCAATATAAGTTTTAAGAAAATTGAAACACTTACTGTCTGGATTCTTGGCTATTAGAAGAATCATTCATCATCGTTTCAAACCTTCTTTTCAACGGGTTTGTTGGGTTCGATGAAGTTTCCGAGGACTGCATGTTTCCGATGAACTGAGAAACAACCCAGAACGCCTTTCGTTGTCGAAGAAGACACAAGTTATCTGTCTGTCGAAGAATTCGATAAGAAAGTAGAACTTCTATGGCAATTCGTCAATCGCTAGAAACACAAAAAGGGTTTTCAACGTCCTTCTTCACAAAAATTGCGTTGGAATATTTTCAGTGAGCGAAGAATCAACCTTCACCGTTTGCTTTTTGCAGGGTTCCAAAAAGGGTTTTGAGTTGGTGGATTCTATGATTTTTGTATAATTTTTTTGTACTGTATAATTTTTTCACAATCAATTTTGATATTTTTTATAAATTAATTATTATACTTAAATATTAATTTTTTTTTATTAACCTGTATATCCAACCCGCTAGCGAGCCGACTAATCTCAGAACAATCATCTGCTTTACAAATAGCCTGGAGTCACTGCATTTGAACCTCTGTTTTGCAGATAACAAGGAGATTATTATTCCTTCTTGGATTTAAACTTAGGATCTCATTATACTTTTGATCTTTGAAGTCAATCTCATATCAATCAAATAGTGGTTTAAATATTAAATTTTGTTTCAAACAGCAAAACAAGATGATGATGTATTTTATATATTTTATTTTATATTAATTTATAACTTCTACATTAGTAGAGGTTATTTTTTATATAAATGATAATAGTATTAACTTATTTATTTAATATATTTTAAATTATAAAACCAGATAAATATATATCTTATTTATTTAGTTTTGGACGATTATATGAATTTATTTATTTGCTTGTTCATATATATTTTTATTTATTAAAAAGTAAACATATTAAAACAAAATACATAGTTCGGGCAGGCAAAGTCGAGGGCATAAGGGTGTTTTTCCATTTTTTTAACATATTTTTAAATTAATCTTTTTAAATCAAGGGCCATAGTGTATATAATGGAACTTGGAGGGCTAAATATAACATCATTTAAAATATTATATTTTAAATTGTATATTATGTATATACATATCTATACTATCTTATTAAGCAAATTTAACAAAAGTCTTAAAGTCTTAAAATTCTAAATGACCATAATACCCTTTATACTCACTTTTTCACCCTCTCCTCTCCTCACATACACTCACCCTCTCATCACAAACCATTTTTAAAAAAATTATAATTTTAAATTTATACTTTATACCCATATAATTAATTAATTAATTTACTTTACATCCTTTACTTTTAAATGTTTCATTTTAAACTTTTATCAAATTAACATACATAATYATATATCAATTAAAACATGTTTAAAAAATATATTTTTATTTTAACAAGTTACACCATTATAATCGTCTCGTTAATACCTTCGAAATGAGTCAAATATTAAATAGTTTTTTACTTAATTATATTATTATTTGAAAAAATATTTTTAATATTTACGATTTATACTTTTATAGTTATTTATTTATATATATACTATATATTTTGGGGTTAGGCTGTCCACATTGCACTGTATAATATGTTTTGAATTAATATGTTCTTGGGTTTTTTTGAAATATATATATATATATATATACATGTATTAATTCAACCTTAATCTGAGTTTCTGGACAAGAAAGAGGGTAAACAGTTGAAATTTCATTTTAAAACCCATTTTTTTTATCTTTTCATGGCTTATGATCTGTTAAATTTGTAGTTTTCTTTATTGGTTTTGAGTGTTTATCTTAAAACTCAAGTTTCTTGGTTCTTTGCTCTTGGTGTAAATCGAATACATTTGTGGAGTCGTTTTAATATGTTGGATTTTAAATATATTGGATTTTAAACTGTCATACAATTTTTTTCATCGATAGTCTGTAATTGGAACCATAACTCTTATTTATTCAAATTGTATTAATATGTAAAGACCAAGTGTAACCTATATCATCGTCAAATCTTATCTTATAAAACCAGTGGAACTTCAAAATTGTTAAAATTCATGGCTCCTGCCGCATTGCGCGGGTACACAACTAGTTTATATATAATATACATGTACAAACTTTCGTCCCAACGTATTCCATGGCCGGTTTTGTGTTTCGTCCCCAACCCCACTTCATGGTCACCCCTATTAGCCACTGCCACACATCTCCGGCACACACATACCTACACACACCACAACACATGCACACAGATCACACACACACACCCACACCCACATCGTTACACACACCACCACCACTCATCTTCGGTCACCCTCAATATGTGTCACGCACCACTCATCTAACCGATCCATTAGATTTAAGGGCAAATGGTGTTTTTATTTTTTCCCCTTACATTTTAGTATTTTTTTTTAATTAACCTAATTAAAGTACGGGATGAAAATGTATGAACTAAAACTTAGAGGGCCAAATATGAATATATTTTATCTTCTTCTCAAACCCATCGTCCCCATATTGTTCTGGCATCGCTTTCGTCAACGATAATCATTTCCAGCGACCCACCACCCTCGTTGTCTCACCACCACCACACTCCCCTACCATAATCACCATCGTCCCTAGCTAACGATTATCACACTCCACCCATATGCCTGAAAACTACCCACCATCTCCATCTTCGTCCCATCTTGCAACCTCCATCTTATCCCTTTGCAACCTCCATCTCCACCCCTGCAACCTTCATTTTCACCCCTACACCATCCACCACAAAAATCCACGATCATTTTTCTGCAACTTTGTTCAAACACACACGATTCGAATTTTAGAGCACACACTGCAACAATCTCTCTCCCTCTCTCTCTCTCTCTCTCAGACACACACGCACACACATAGCATCGTTTGGGAAGGAAGGCAAAGGGGTGGAAATCGGAGGGAAGAGGTCATTGCCTGTGTTGGGGACGAAAATGCAAGCCCATGAAGAAATATTTGGTCCATTTGACAATGCACACGCACATGAAGAAATCGAGTTCCATTGATCGAGTTTTGCTTCTGTTGCCGAGATGACCGATAGGGAAAAGGACCAACTCCAATCGAAAACGCATACGACAAGGACCAAATCCATAATAAATGAAAAATCAACATACCATAGGGACCAAATTCGTAATTTACTCTTTGCTATTTTTAGAATATCAAATAGGTTTTATATATATTTTTATAAGGGTAAGTTAAGATTTTCGTCCCTGTGGTTTGAGAAAGATTACGAATTTTGTCTTTGTGTTTTTAAGATGTGATGTTCATCCCTATGGTTTATAATTTATTACTGTTTTTGTCCTTGAAACTAAATATGTTAAGACTCATCCACTAATTTAGGGATATTTTAATCTTTTTGATTTATTTTTTTTTTTTGGTCTATTAAATATATATATATATATTTTTTTGGTATTTTTGTCTTTTTGATTGAATAAAAGTGTTTATTTTTTGATTAAAAAAAGGTTAATAGATAAAAACATTATATATTTTTCAATTGTTTTATGATAAAATAATTAAAATATTTTTAATACAACTGGTTTTTGTTTATATTTCTTGGTCATTAAAATTCTAGTTTTTTTATGAGTTCGATCTCTGCCAGTAACATCGTTTAAGTGCAAGCCAGTTGATTGTCCATCAGATAAGAGTATCTTACTTCTTTTTCTTCATTAAAGACCAAATGATTATATTTTGTATAGGACCAAACATTTAACTATTATAAGCAATTATTACCGAACAAATGTATGAAATGTTATTAATAAGACGTAAACAAATGTATGCAATGTTATTAATACGGCGTAGTGTTCTTTGGCCTCTTAATCCTAATCCATCATCTATCAAATAATTCATATTTTGGGGGCCAGAAGAGATTCGTTAGAAACAATCTTACTGATTCAAATTTCAGACTTCAGAACCACCTCTTATAAATCAGAAGTGAAATCAGACTTCAGCATCTTTTAAAAAACAAACGCCACATTAGTCTTAGAGACGGAAACAACAATAAATTACAAACCATGGAGACGAAAACAACAAATTACAAACCATAAGGATGAAAATCGAAAATTCTAAATTGTTCAATACCATTGAATAATGACAAACACACACTCACCAAAGAGGCCTTTGACCTAACGATATCGTAGTCCTTGACCTCCTAAGAGGTCAGGGATTCAAACCTCACAAAAGATGAGGAAGATATGTGAGTTTATTTGTTGCATTTGCCGTATATAAATATTATATACTTAAAAGAAAACACACTTACACTACACACGTGCATGTATGTACGTAATACAACACAATACATCTCTATTTCGTCTCTCTTGAACCATCATCTTTGCATTTGGGCATATAATGAACAAAGCTTCCAGCAAAGGTATACTAAACACACAAAAGGCCCGGTTCATCAATGCAATTATTTTGCACCTCATGCTTTTCACCGGTAATTACTTTGCATCTCGTTCCTCAAACTGCGGTGGAAAACCGGGATTTGAATCTCGAGGTTTGTTCTGTTTGTTGTAAGAAAGAATTGCAAAACATCCAGCTTCAGTTTTTTGGCACATTCTTCAGCTCTGTCCAGCTGCATAATGTGTAAATCTGAACATTAACAGCACGACTTTAACTCATCGTTGTTACCATCAAGTTTCGTATCACAAACGAACTTTCAAGTCAAGGGTTAATCTTGTAAAAAATGACATACTACTACCAAAAAATCCAATAAGCTTTCAAGTGCTGCTATTTGTGCTCCACAGTATTCAGCCAAAGAAACACCTAATACAGAAATCAAATTACAAACATGCATATAGTTAGTTATATATGTTAATTAGAATAAATTAAGGAAAATGTGAACAATGTATATAGGGTTGGGTTCAGGAAAAACCACAAAAAATTAGAAAACTGAGATACACCCTAATAACCATTCATCTGTCCAGTATGTCCATTGTGCATAAACTGCAACGTGCATATATGCCTGGAAACATTTCCAATTACTTTTATGCACATGCGCATACCAGACAAATGAATGTTATTAGGGTGTTCCTCGGTTTTCCATTTTTTTGTGGTTTTCCCCTAAACCGCAGTCTAAAACCCTCTTTATTTAGTTGATAACCTCCCATCTCAACTCTAGTAGTCAGCTTATTTATACTTCAATTTGGTTTTTATGGAACTGTTATGGACATCATCTCCATTGCTAATGTTCAAATTAAGAAATAAAACCAAATGATGATAGGAACTTCTAATCTTTCATAAAAATAGCTTCGGGAAACGAAAACTTCAGAAACAAACTCACATGATTCTCATCCCTCTTCCGTTCCCAAAAGGCAGAATCCATTCATCAACCTTGTTTTCGTCTTTATTTTCTACCAACGTTCACCTTAGCCTCTGCTTAAATCAACCATAAGGTTTGTGTTATACCTTAGAACCTCGCAATGCAAACTCGATGAGACTTATTTTCAAGAGGTGAACACATGAAAAAAGCAAAGGAAAACAAAATGACGGCGAAAGGAGCATCTTAACAACATATAAATGATAAATGCTAAATTGGGAGAATTGATTTGGATCTCATAACAAAATCTGATGATAATATTTATAACAAAGTTGGGCGAATTATCTTATCTACTTGGTGGTCTTTTTCCATATCTTGGACTAAGCACACCCTAATAAGCTCAACTAACCCAACAACTATAAAAAGCATTGAACAACTAATCGGTAATACAATGATAGCATACCTGCTCAACAAGATTACGGATTGGGGCCAAGAAAACCATTGATTTCTTTTCAGATGGTTTCTTTTTAATAGAAACTGCAACTTTGTTGATGATCATGACGCCTATCATTGTTTTTCCGGCACCCGTATCCAGATGTGCTATTTGTATTTCGCCCACATCCAACTGATACCTAAATTAAACAATAACAGAAGGAAGGTCAATGAAAATAGAACTTTTACCCAAAAAATAGTCAAACCCACATTAATACAAAGTGAAATAAGAAACCCAATAAAAACTTGCTCTCTGGGTGTCAGTTGATTTCGGGAATCATCATGGCTTCTGAACTTAGATCAAATAAACCACATTAACCAGAACACCGTTACAAATGTTATTCACAATTTTCAATATGAATAGCAGAAACTTGAAACACAAATGATTCAGGTTCAAAGCCATTACAAGAGTCACACATCATTGTCTAAAACCTTTCTTTTCAATGGATTTGTTGCCTTCCTTGACTTATCCTAGAAACTGCACATTTCCAATGAACTGAGACGCAACCTAAAATGCTTTTTGTGTGTTTTTTTAGGAAGACACTAGTTCTAGAGGATAAGATTTGTACAACTTCTGCACAATTTATCGATAGCTATAAATGCGAAAGGATTTTGATTTAGCTCCTACAAAAAAATCTAGTGAGAATATTTTCAGAAAACGAGGAATCAAATTCACGTGTGCTTTGGCAGCGTTTTAAAGAAGGGTATTGAGAAATCTTGCATGAACATTGGAATTCAAAGAGGTGACTGAGAATTTTTGGAAAACAAAGTTATTTAGCAGAAAAGAAATTGTAAAAACGACATTAATAAAAATGGTTAAAAGAGGAATGAAAGAATCGTACCCAAGTGAAGACTCGTAATTGTTTCATGAAGAGCTTCAAAGCACATCTCCATCAATAACTCTTTCACGACCTATTAGTAATAGTAGTAGGAAAGCATCAAAAGACCAAACTAATTAACAGCAGAAGCCATGGGGTATACTACTTCCTCCATTCCAAAATAAATGTCATTATTACACTTTTAATCAACTAAATGACAATTGCATCGTTAATAAATGAGAGAGTGATGAAGTTCCCTAACTCATAATTAAGAGTAGAATTGGAAATTAGGCAAACTACTTTTGAAAATGGACTCTTATTTCGAGACAGGGTCAGGTTCAGGGGAAACTGCAAAAAAATGAAAAACTGAGGAACACCCTGGTAACCATGCATCTGACGGTATGCACATGTGCATACAAGAAATTTACAAGCAATTGGTCTAGTAGGCACATGTGCATAACATGCCACGTGCATAAAAACCAAGAAACAACTTCTGTATGCACATGTGCACACCGTCCAAATGAATCGTTACCAAGGTGTTCCTTAGTTTTTCATTTTTTAGAGGGTTTTCCCTTGAACCTTCCTCTGTTGAAACAAACTAAAATAAAAATGTGGGCGTTTATTTTGGGACGAAGGGAGTACTAATCCAGTTCACGAATGTTCAAGGGAAAGCACATTAAACTAGAAGACTTACTTGTGGAGGTTAGACTTAGTCATATAGTCTTGGTAACTACTAAAACCTCCTTTGAAATTTGAATATTGCCTCTTCAGTAATTTGTATGCTTTCATTTCTTTTGGCCCAAAACTTGTGGCTTGTTTATCAAATTTAAATTTCAAAGGGCAATCTGAATCAAAAATCTCTTTCTCATCCTTTTGACCAACTCTAAAAAGTAGATTTGTATGTTTCTCATCCTCGAAAACAAAATCCTCCATTGACAACTTACTAGAGAATGCAACAGGCTTATATGAAGCAAATGATTGTAGATTTTGAGAACTGTGAAACATATCTTCATTGTCATCAGCAAGAGAAACAGCATGGTCATTACATCTTTCAGATTGTAATGCAGTAACTTCGTTAGCTACCCTCATTACTTCCTCACACTTGAGGTCAATTTCCATGTCAGCACACTTGTTATCTGCTCTTAACATGTGGGCTTTATGAAAAGTCATCAGAAACGGAATGGGAAGAAGAGGTCCTACTAAAGAATCACTGGGCTTATGTTTTCCCGACCATTTACTACTGCGGAATGAGGGAAATCGAAAGAAAAAAGGTGGTAAGTGAGGTTGGTGGCATGGAATTTCCAAGAACTCAAAGGGTGCTTGCTTTAGGTTCTTAGGAACGACTAGAAGATCTGAATAGGTAGAGAAGCCAAATCGTAAAACTTTCTTTGGCAAATTTGCCCATAAACTCCTTAAAGCGATCTCATGTGCGCTGGTTGGCAAGCCAATCTCTTTGAACACATCAAGAATTTCTAGAGACCAATGAGATCCACCGGAACTAAACATCTGTAACTTTTGGCATATATTTTCATGGAAATCCTCCCCAAAATAAGCCTTGTTTGCACTCTCATTGTCAGGGGTTTTAATTAGTTCTCTACTCAAAATTTGGCCAAGATCAGACTTTAAGTATCCATTAAGCCATTCAAGTTTCAAATATCCAAAAACCTTACGGAACTTGTATCCCTCTTCACTTGTGTCATACAATAGAGAATCTTCTAAATCCAAAGCTTGGTCAGTGTGGCCCTTTTGTGAAGTTTGTGAATAGTCCCATGAGGCGGAATATCTATGTGATTCGAAATTCCCCAAAGATGTCATTGTAATGAGAGTAAACCCACCAAACCTATCAGGTTCAAACAACTGAGAAGAGATTTCCTTGGCAAGAATGCCGAAACCCAAAACAAATTCTTTCTTCTGTTGCCAATTAATCCAATGAGGAAACCTATCCTTAGAAAACTCCTCTTTTACAATGCAACTACCACAACCACATTCATGGGTGACGAGTGAAAGATCAGAAGGGAGTCCCCAGGCATAAAAAGATTTACCACAAGAAGATATTTCAGAAGAAACAGACTCTCTAACATCTGGACCATAGCAAAAAAGGCTAAACTCAGAGTTCCAAAAGGACCCCAATATAATACCATAACCGGCTTCAGAAGCCCAGCTGAATGTAACATCTTCAGATAGTGACCTCAGTTCAGACAAACTAGAAACAACAATATAGCTTGGGTTAGCAACATTATGAGCCCAACGTAAAAGTGGAACCATCGGTTTTCGTAAATCACAAAGAAAAAGCATGTGCTTTGAAGCCAGAGTGAAATAGAAACGATCAGGAGCAGCAATGGAGAATGCAACGAATCTATCATCCTCTACATGCTCTGAGCCAAGTTTCAACAAAGGGATGACATTGTATTTCTCAGACCTTAAATCAACAAGAAAAACAACACTGGAGTGAACAACAATCAGAACTCTTGGATGCCAACTGAAATCACAGCTCAACCACCCACCTTTCTCATTAAAAAGAGACTGATCCCATAAAACTTTTACTTTCTTTCCGGTCAACCTCAGAGATGATATCGAGGGTTCAGAGCAAGAATCCAAATCAAATAAAAACAAATCACCACTCTCTAGCAACACCAAACTCTCTTCAGGCAAATGTGGACTCCAACAAGCATGTACAATTGCAGAACTTTTGAACAACTTGTTACCCAATAACTCCAACCCAGGTGTGATTCTACCAGAACCCTCCTTTCTGATTCTAACACTGTAGTAATGAAGAGAATAAGACGTAGAAACCAACAAGTACCCAATGGTAGAATCACAAAGATCACCTGAAACAAATAAGCAAGTACGTTCCTCAAGTTACCAAAATTCAAAAGCTAAACCAATAAATTAGTGCACTATCCAATTAACAAGTACCAAATGATATTCCAAATGGAAGTGCAAGTAAGATGCTAAATGCCGTTTTTTTCTAACGACACAAACAATAGTTTACTTTCTATTCAATGCTAATAGATGAAAGTGTTACAGAATGCAGTGGTTAATTGATGAGACCAAGTTGAAGAGAGTTAATTTTCTTGGATGGGCATGCATAGAATATATTGCCACAACAACCAACTACCTAATTTGATAAAATAAAGTAAGAACAATAATTACCTGAAGTACAATCACAATCAGCAAGCGGGCTTGCAGAAATCTTGACAATCCGATGAGTCAATGCATTTTTCGAAGTAAGAAATTCATTTTCACCATAAGCTCCTCTCACCGTCAATTGGGAATTCTCAACAGACAATATGACAAACCCCACTTGATCGGAGTTGGAACCGGTGGGAAAGAATGCGAGAGTGGAATTTGTACCAGGGCATCTCAGCAACTGAAGGGAATTGTGGGCCAAAAGTCGATCGGGGTTGAACGAAGAGGAGAATAGTTGTGAGGCAATAGAAGTGGTGGTGGAAGGGAGGAGAGAAGAGGATGTATAGAGGAATCTAGAGAGAGAGAGGTTTGGGAAAGGAGGGATGTGAGGAGAAACGGAAGATGAAGTGAACAGATGGTTGTGGGTTTGTGGTTTAAAGATGACAGGTCCAATTTGTCTGGAGGCGGCGGTTGTGGTGGCAGGGGAGAGGAGAAGCGGCGGAGAATGGACCGAAGAGATTGGCCACAATGATTTCCAATCCTCTGTGGTGTTCATCATCGTGTACTGAACAACCCAAGATTGCTCACCGACGAGCCACAGTGGTGGCTGTGTAGGCAACGATGGTGGTGGTGTAGGCGTCAATGGAACAACGGTGGTGGAGGCGGCAGTAAGCGGTAGTAGAAGCCTAGAAGACGAAGGTATGAGGTGAGGAAAGGGAACCCAAAAAGACTTGGGAAGGAATGATATATAAATGTGCTATATTTGCAAAAAAAGAAATATGTTGGTCATTTTTACTAACGAATTTTTGCGGAATGGTTTTGTGTTAGATGATTTAAGTGGTCAAAATGATTTAAAAGTTTTTATGATATAATGTAAAATAAAACATAATTGTTTGGTAATTGTTTATAATAAAATTAGGATGCTGAATGGTTAAGCGAGACTCTGAATATAAAATCATTCAGAGGTTGCAGTTCAGTGTTTTTACATTTACTTTTATTAAAAAATTAGGATGATTTACTTTCCAAACCAAATCATTTGTATAAACTGTACAAACTTTATTTAATCGATTATAATTATTTTTTGTTTATTTTTTGTAATTATAAGAAGTTGATTAGTCATTTTTCTTGTGGAGGGTTTTAATTATGTACATTATCACTTCATTATATTAATTTTAAAGAAATACATGAAACAATTTCATCAAGAAAAAAAATTATCTGAAAATTTTCAGTAGATTAAACAATTTCATGAATATACGAATGACGATGGTTTGTACAATTTGTATAAATAGGGGTGGTTTGCAGTTGATCGTTCTCATTCAAGAGAGAACTAATTAGTTAGTGGTGACCGTAAGATCTAATGTGAACCACTTGTTTGAGATATTTAAGGATATTTCTTAAATAAGCTAAAATAATAATATAGTAATTTTATTTTTGACAACTAGTCAAAATATTTAATTAATTTTTTTAGAAAGAAATATTTAATTAAAATTAGTTACCTAGTGTATTAATTACCTAATATACATCGTATTTTAAAGACGTATGTGAATCATAGTGATAACATTAATAATGTTTGATGTGTATCACAATGTATTTTCTTTGTTTTATGAAATGTATCATAGTGTGCATTTTTGTTATTTTCGTTGCTTTACAAAGGATATCACATTGTGCATCTTGTATGTATATTTGGGCATCACAGTGTGTATCTTGTGTTAACATAAAGTTCATCGTGATAAGATTCGTCGGAGCATAAAAAGAGGAGAGATGAGAAAGGATATTTATAAAATCCCTAAAATGCCCTAATTAATATTTTAAGTTAAAATTACCAAAATAATTAATTTCCTAATTTAACCTTTGATTTGTGGTTGAGATTGGATCTCACGGTTACCACAAACAAAACAGTTCTCATTTGATTAGACATATATATAGGGGCTCATTCAAGGAATAACTGACTAGTTTCGTGGTAATCGTGAGATCCAATCTCAACCACAAATCAATATATAAATTAGGAAATTTATAATTTTGAATTAAAATTTTAATGCAAGAACATTTTAGGTATTTTCTCTCATCTCTTCTCTCTTCTATCTCCGTCCTCCGGCCACCGTCCTCCATCCTCCGGTGATACCACTGTGATATCTAAAAATATTGACTATGTTAAACAAAAGACACAGTGTGATACTCAAGCATATATATTATGCATTGTGATACTACTGTGTTACATCTCCGATCGACCACACAAATGACCTCAGTGTGATACCCAATAACATATATGATGCATTGTGATATCATTGTAGTATCATCGGAGGACGGTGGCCGGAGGATGGGGGACGAAGAGAGAAGAGAGGAGAATTCTGAAATACCTAAAATGTCCTTGCATTAAAATTTTAATTCAAAATTATAAATTTCCTAATTTATCTATTGATTTGTGGTTTAGATTGGACCTCACGGTTACTACAAACTAATTAGTTCTCATTTGATTAGGCCGCTATATATATATATATATATATATATATATATATATATGTGTGTGTGTGTGTGTGTGTGTGTGTGTGTTGGGGGAGGGTAACTTCATTTGTTAAGACAATATATGGTGTTAACTTTGTAAACAAATACTATCCATTGATCTTTAAAATTTGTGCTGAAATCATTCATGACATAAAATGTAAATAATTGCACACCTAGACAAGATAACATAATTGAACAATGTTTACAAGTGGGTGTTTTGGTAAAAGATTTTAATTGCCCATTAATGACAAAAAGGCGTTTTTTTAACTGTCCGTTAATGACAATGAGATGTTTTGTAACTGACCATTAATGACAATGTAGCTTCCGGTAATTACTCGTTATCGAATCGAAACCGACAGCAAGATCCCCAACACCAGGTTTTTCTACAACTTTTTTTTGGTTCATGGTTCATGTGTAAATAAGTACTCGATATTTATGGGAAGTGTTTGTGTGTGAAGTTCATGGTTCATGAACATGTGTCTAAATTCATTATATCAACAAGTTTTTACGAATAGAAGAACACATTATGCAGATTTGATATTTATAAACACATCTCCATACATGTGAACACATATTATGCACACAGAGTTTTCTATATATGTGAACGCATATTATGCACGCAAATTTGATGATCCATTGTAAATTGAGTTAACTGTGTGCACCTATGCACATATTTCTCCATATTTGTGAACACATATTCCGATAGAAAAGTTGATGATACTGTGAAGATGAAGATGATCATCCATGTTTCATCTTCTAAACAACAAATCTCCAATAATCCATGGATCTGATTGTTTTGTAACGACCCATTAATGACATTGGAATCTAGACAAAAAATAAAATTACAAATATATCCTATAAAATTAATTTCATGGTGAGAGATGAACACGTGTTTGTAATTGGTCTAAAAGTTTGTATAGTTGATACCATTTTCATGGTTAACAAATGATCATAGCTCGTTCTCTCTCTCTCTCTCTCTCTCTCTCTCTCTATATATATATATATAGGTTTGGTTTCTGACGAGAATGAAGTTATGGTGAAAAATGTAAAAAAATGATCTTCACACTTGGATCAATTCTAATTAAAGGTTAACACTAATGAGATGCACGAAGATGCACAAATCAATTCAATGAGAAGCGCAATTCATGGGATGGGGTGAGATTAAAAGCGATCTAGATCCAAGTCGGTTCTTATGCTTCTAATCTTAACTTTTATTCTCACACGATCTTTCGTCTATATATGGTTCAGATCGATGGTGGTCGGCGCTGGTTCAGATGGCGGTGGTCGACGATGATTCCGATCGACGGTGGTTGGAGGTGGCCGATAACGGTCATATTGGGTTTTATGAGATTAGTATATTCGGTTGAAGACACATTTGGTATTATGAAAATAGAAAATATCATTTCATCAAAATAACATGTATTTTTAAGGAATGTTAAATTCATTTATTTGTAGAATTTTAAAGATTCATTTCGCGAAAATGAATGAACCAAAGAAGGAAATGAAATTTGGTCAATGAAATTCAACATTCCAATTCTATCATATTCCTTTAGAATCCGCGAACCAAATGTCAATTCCCTAGATTTGGATAATTACCAAAGATACCAAGCAAACAAAAACTACTTAAATCAAAACCAACAAATTTATTTGATTGTAGAACACAAATATCATCAAATTATAACCAACAAATTAGCAAAGTATTGACAAAAATTTCATGTTATTATTTATTCATTTACCAATCATTATTGTTACAATATAATAAATATACAAAAACCTGTTAAATTCAATTACAATCACCAATTTTTTGAAAATTATAATGAAATCAATTAAGGACTTATTTGTTAACAACTTAATGAACTAATTCAGACTCGCAACTCATCCGATTAGTTATAAGTGACTGTTTGAAAGTAGCTTAATGGTATACAAAATGACTTATTCATTAAGTTTCTAGAGGAAGCTTTATGCAGAAAACAAGTTTTTTGGCCTTTCCCAAATAGAAAAAAACGCTCATCCCATCTACAAAAAAAAACATCTCAAACAAAAACCTTCTTAACCTATACAAACATTTTAGTCCACACAAACAACTTTACCCACACAGGACTTGATAAAAAATCAACCAAACAGCCCCGAAGTCGCATTTTGTTTCCATAAAAAACAACACGACAACTATATGCTTTTCAAGTACACACAATATTGAGTAATGGGTCCATGAGAATCCAAACCCGATCAATAATCATCGGGTCCAAGCCAGTTACGATTTCTTCCCGCGAATTTGTAATTGGTTGCCAGCTGGTTTGGGATTGACGGCAAGCAATTTGCACTTATCTAGCTTAAACTTCATACAGGCCCGAGCCTAGAAACTGAGGGGTTTGTTTACTGTTCCCAACTAAACCATACATACCCAATATATATAGATATAATTATAGACCTTAACTCACTCCCTAGGACCCTAATGGGACCTAAAGATATCCGTCATGAAAATCCTACTGGCCCTAATGAGAACTGAACCAACATGTGCATACCTCGACTAATCCTATGAGTCCTGGTCGACTAATAATGTAGGGCTCAAAAGATAACAGTCAGGAAACTCCCAGTGGTCCTAAGGAGAACTGGGTACCTCAACAACTATCCTATGGGTCCCGAAGATAACAAACAGTAAGGGAAATCCAGCTATAGATGAGAAAAGACAAAACGGTATGAACGAATGGAATTCAAAATTTCTAAATTTTGCAAAAGCTATCATATAAAAAACAATTCTATCCATCATACATTGCACCTGCAAACTGTGTAACAAAAAAATAACAGTACATTTAACAAAAAAATAAGATGAAATCCTCCCTACCAAAAGGTAATTCTGCTGTTGGATGGTTACACCTTAATGATACACAGCTACATTTTTTTTTTCTTTTCGTTTTTTAGCTTCTGTTTTCCCCCCTTCCGCTTTCAATTTTCCAGGCTATCGACTAATCTCTTTTTCCCATATACAAACGCATGAATATCAAATCTTTCATTTTCTTTTTCGATTTTCATGGGGTTAAGCTTTTTCTTTTTTGTGTTTTATTGTGTCAAAAAGGAACTGCTATACCTGGGTGATATGTCTTCAATATAACACAACTCGGAGGAGCCCAGGCTGGGGCTCAGAGTAGTCGAGGCCCTCTTCCTCAAGCAAATATCTCTGGACAGCAACAGGAAGTCTAGCTGGAGTGCGGGTCCCTCTAGTGTGGTGTCCTGTTCCAACACATATGTACACCTGGAGATGTTGATCTGCTGACCTGGCAACGTTCCTCAGCATTGTGAGATCTCGTTTTAGGACATGAATGGCTTCAGTCACATGTAGCCCATGGAGGTCAATTAACCTTTCCTGCCCTCCTCTTCCATTGCCCTGCATACTTGGACTCACTGGATTCCTGCAGGAGTATGTACACAAGACCCATCCCCACAAACGAAATGATTGCAATGAAAACGTAAATGTCAAAGTGCATAAATATCACATCCATGTCCTATAAATTAGGAAAACATTTCCATTAAGAATGATATTTTTGCTTATATACCACCAAGAATTCACATTGTGATTTGATACCCAAACGGGACTGGACAGGATTGGCCGGGCGAGAGTGAGGTAGGCAGGTGAAAGAATTGTGTAAGGTTATTTGACATGGGTAGTTTTGTAATTTACCAATCTTGTCCCATCTTTGTTCCACCTATTTTGGTGGACAAAAAAAATGCATTTTTGTCTCATTCAGTCTTGTCTTGTCCCGGTCTAAATGTGGGACAAGTTTTTGTTCTATCATGTCCCGCATTGTCCTGTCCCGCGTACCAAACCACCCGAAAACATCACATTGTTTAGAACTCGCTAAATTAAGATACAAAAAATATATGGATAGGGAATTTTAGGACCTTATATAGATCCTATAAATTTCACCAAAACTAGATGTTTTCCTTTAAACAAAAATTGATAAACTTGACATATGGCACTATTTATATTTGGTTTTCAAAATATAATTTCAGTGAATCATGACTGGAAAGAATCAAGATCAATAAAAGGGTCCACGACATGAGCATACATCTAAATTATAAGGTTTTTCAAAGCATGATCTTGCAATTTATCGTTGAGAGCGCAATAAAATTAAAAGCTGCATAATGTACTCCAAGAACTTGTTTAGCTAGCGAAAAGTGAATCAGGCACCTATCTCAAAGAGCAGAGATAAAACTAACCTTTGACGATATATAGATTCTTGAGCTTTTCCATGAGCCGCCTTCATTTGCATGTTGTGCAGTTGCCCCTTCACGCTTAGTTCCTTAGCTAAAGCCTTGTATCCAACAAGGTATGCCTGCCGTGCCTATTATTATGGCAAGCATTTTATAGAGACAAATGTTAGCAAGTGATATAGTACTCAGAACCTAACAACTTGACATACTCATTTTACTAAGGGGCCGTTTACCAACACAAACTGGGTAAACATTAACATGGTAAGAGTGCAGTCTGTGTCAGAGGTTCAGTTTGGGTAAGCGCTGACCGAGTAACAGACTTTCCTTCCTTACAAGTCAGCATCTCGGTCAGTGTCATTTGTCGATCAGAGTGTATAGTAAACAATCTCACGTCTTACCAGGTAAGCATCTCTAACCCAGCAAGAGGTGGTCAACAATCAGTAAACAGCCCCTAAGGCTATGTGGTTTTGGGAGGGTTGGGAGTAACCTTCCCATTGGTTAAATGTTAACATTCACACACTTTGGCAGGTCTATTTCTCGCCAATTTTTCTAACACAAGTTCCTAAAAGGTCTCCTTGTTTACTAGAACTATTTGAAGTCTATGTTATTATGCATAAAGGATCATAGAACCTTATGATCATAGTATATTTAACCAATGAGGATGATCTTTTAGTTAGGGAATGAGCTACATGAAGCAAATAAAGAAAAAGAAACATAATTTCGTAAAGGAGTATGGATTCAATTGCTTGAAAGGAAAGATACAACTGTCAAAATTCTATAAAATAGTTAAGAACAAAAAAATAGTGACCACAAATATTTGCATCTTCCCCAGACCATATCTTATCATATCAGACGATCATATTATCAATCCAACATTGGAGTTAAGTTATTGCATACCTTGATACTTTAGTGTTCAGCAAACTGATTCCCTTAATTTTTCCCCCAAGAACATTCATCCTATTTTTGAAAATTTCCTGATCTTACCTGCCTTCGTGAAGATTTCCTTAGGATAGTAATGTGGGGCATATTATTTTTAATACAGTGATTAGTCCCTGTATACATAAGTTTACTGGCAATTTGGCCAGAGTTCCTGGTCCACCCTCTTCTGACAATCTCCCCCATTAGAAGGTACACTACAAGCTCTTATTATTTGCACATCACCCTCTATATATACACTTAACACCCTCCATTCTACAGCCAGTCAGGCCCAGATTATGTTTAATATGTATGCTTCATCGTTTCACTGATTTTCCATCACTTCGGGTAAGTGTATGTTTTCCAAGACTTACACAGGACTAGGTGCAATTTGGCATGGTTCAGGGTGTAATATGTAACTTATACAAATAATTGCTATATCAGATCAGAAGGGGATGCAAGGGGTCAAACCCAAAGTAGCCAAGCTGGACCACCAGAGATGTCACAAAAACCCAAATCGATTAAAATGTCTAAAATCAAAAACATAAAGCACAGAAGATGCCACGACCTTTCAAGGCGTCTGGATGTGATTCTTATCTTTCTAGCTAATCTTTATCATATGAGTTGGAGGGAGACAGAAAAAATCATGCATCTAATGTTAACAAGCATACCTGTTCAAAGTATGCATTCCGCAGACGTGCATGATCACGAGCTTCACCACGCATCTCAGAATACATATTTGCTGTCATCCTCGACAAAGTTAAAGCATGCATATATGCACAAGGCATTCAATTAAAAGAAGCTAATTTAACAGGTATTATATTTCATCAAGAACATTACCGACTGCTTCTCCAGTTTCAAGCCAGACAGGAGCTGAACGGCTTGAATTCCTATTGGCCAATCTATCTCCATAATTGGTCCTTCCATGCCCACCGTTATAAGCGCTGGCCAAGACGTGAGAGCTTCTGCTTGATCCAATTGTGGCATCTTGAGAAGGGTTTCTATTATACTTCCATATGCTCGAGTCCTGTGAAGCCATTTTTCTAACAGCAGAAGCAAAATCTGTAGCACCACCAGATGGAGCGGCAGAGGAAGATTTGAACATGAGCAAGTTGTCCTTCTCCAAAGGATGATAAGGATTGATATGATGTTGGTGATCATCTCCGGAAAATTTGGGAACACCATTTTGACCCTCTGTAGGAGAGAGTGCAGGAAAATCCAGGGCACTAAGATTTGGAGCAGACAAAGCCTTGGAGTTCAGATTCTGATTAAAGCCACCATCTACTTGAAGCTGCAATCAGGAATTAAAATATTTTGTGAAAGCCGTCTCTAAGCCAGAAGATAAATTGTCTAGACAGTAACGGTTTCATCAACAAAAACCAACTACATTAATGTAGATAATCTAATAACCATATTCCTACCAAGTATATTAATTTGTCATTTTACTAATAACAAATGCAGTTATCAATTGAAGGATGGCCTTAGGAAAGTTACCTACCTTCTAAATTTATTGGTCTAAAACATTAATTGAAAAATCAAATATATAGACATGGAAAAAAAATAACTAAAACCAAGAAAATGGAAGTACCAAAAGTACAAATAGAATACTACAATGAGTGCCTATTAAGGTAGTAATCAAAGACGCACAGGTCAGGTATGTTACCAAGCATGTTGCTTTACAAGTAGCTAGCCACAGAATGTATAGAAACTCTTGGCATTAAGATGAAATCTAGGAGCTACAGGTGTCTATAACGGTCATACAAATTATCATCAGTAGCTTGGATATTATACCTTTAGGGGTCCTATGCAAATTAAAAAGAAAAAGAAGCATAACACTAAGACATGAACCAAAAATTTAGCCACTTATAGAGCTTCTAATGACTTATTACAGTTGTAACTCAAAGATCAAAGTGAGTAGATGAAACGCAAACTTCTACCAATCTATTTCTTTGGTATGTATGTTGAGACAAGATGGGAAAATGTTATTGGTTGAGGTTGTTACATGACGCTATAAGTTAGGAGCACATAATGTAACTCTGTTTGATTGACTAGAAGGTAGCTTCCTGGAGGTACTAACTAGAATCTATATGATTTAACCCGGATTAGTTACAGATGTACATGTATTATGTACCTCAAGCTGAGTAAGCATCTCAATTGTCAAATTCAAGTCTCCTCCATTTGCAAAATAAACTTCTGCAAGACTTTCAGCTGCAAAACCTGCAAATTGGGAAGCCAAAAATTCAAGAGGGTTTACTTCTGTACCCTCCATCTGTTGCTCATTAAGCATGTCATCTAGGTACCCATGCCCAGGATCACCATTGTAGGAAGGCCCATCTCTAATACTGGAGAGCAACTGATCACCATGCATATCCCATGGTTTAGCAGGCAATTGCTGAAAACTAGCTGAGGGTGAATTTTCACCATATGATGAAATGTGATATCCCATCTTCTTGGAAAAGTCACCGCCATTTGTTTGATGAGGAGATGATTCCTGCTGCTCCTTTAACATAAAGGCACTTCCTGCTGATGCAGTGAACCGTGATGTTTCATTGACATCTGCTAAAGACAGCGTTGAAAAGGGAAGCATATTGATTGCTTGGGAATCTTCGTCTCCTGCAACATTAAAGTCAGGAGTGATATCATCAGGTAGCTGGTGACGCCAGTATTGGTGTGCCTCATCATCTGAATTATTTGACACTGATGACTCGGATCTATCTAGTACTGCTTTCCCTGGTGTTGTAACACCAAAATTACCGAAACTTGACGACACATCTGGAGCACGAACGGTTGCAGAAGGTGATCTTAGAGCAAATGGAACAAATTCTGCTGCATCTGGATTTAAACTTATTGTCTTTCCTGTCGCACTAAGCTTTTTGTCAATGGCAGAAGCCGCTTTTTTGGACAAGCTCATTCTTCTTCAAAGTCAGAAAACAAACATATATCTAAGGGCATATAATAACACTCTGAAAGTGAACCTGCAAGTTGCAGCTTTTATTACCCAAATCCTGCAAAACACATATCTTAGATGATACTTCACTTGTACTAACATGGCTTCTGACAAATAAAGAGCTCCATAATTGAAAATACTTGACAAGAAAGCATACTTAAGCAAATCACGTTTTGGTAATAAATTGTTTAACTTATATTAAAAAAATAGGATCCTACATGAAATAAAACGTAAATCTTCTTTCTTTTTTGAGTCTCTTTGCAGAATAGAACTGGTCATTGTCTGTGTGATTGTAAGATAGTGAAGAAAAGACCCCCTTAAGACAGCTCATAAGGACTGTTTCCAAATAGAAAGATGTTTATGAGAAAGACATTTATGTGGTAGCAAACATCAATGGAACAGAAAAAGATGAAGGTTTCGGGGTTATAATGAACATAAAATCATCTTTAGTGCAACTGGAATTTTGCTCATTGGAGCATTTACAATCCTTTCATTGCTAGTCAATAATTGGTGATTCTGCATTCTCGTAAAGGAAATAACACACTTTCTGATTCTGCGATCATAAACTAGTTAATTATCTTAACCTTGAGGATCCTATATATGRAAATCACTCACCCAACTCCTGACCATATGTGAAGTGACAGAGAAACCGCACATAGAATCATGTGTACATATATGGCACTGAATTATCATTGGCATCCAAACTCCTAGATTCCTCCAAAAAAAAGTTGTCACTACTTACACAACTAGGAATCTCTTTCTAACAACAATACCACCAACATAACTGACTTGTTATTCAAGTTCAAAAACTTCACATGCAAACCAATTTGTGTACTTATCTCATCAATCACTAAACTCTACAAATGACTTAGTTACAACCCCTCCATCCCACRGAAGTTGTAATGTTTGCTTTTATGCATAGCTCGATAAAAATGTATGACTATTTGTTTGATAAAAATATTCAACTGTTAGTCAAAGGTCTTCAGGAAACTTTTTAACAGCAAAAATAAGAAATCTTTTGGACCAAAAATCAGTAGCATCAATAACTCATAGCAATCACAATTAGAAAATAAGTGGTTTTAGCTTGAAATTTTTCCCAAGGAAGAGGGACATCCCAAAATGAAAACTATTGCAGTTTCCATGGGCTAGAGGAGTAACACTTAAAAATCACCATAAAATTAAGATYATGAAWGCCTATTGGAGATTGCTRTTTGAAGTCTTGAACTTGAATAGAGCACTTGTTAGTCTTTTGCAGACCCATGACTATCTATAAGGATGAAAAGCTTCTTGAACATCAAAGATAGCTKCAATAAATGACTGCTTAACATCATAAAACAGACAAAAATTATCAAACTTGCATTTCACAATGCCTGCTGTCCAAATAAGRCGAGATACTAATGCACTAAAGATACCACCCCGTACAAACATAGCATATATCCACCAAAAATTAATAAGCTCCCTTTTAAATAATCAAACATCAGCTTAAGATGAGTAAACCTGCAAAACCCCAAATGAAAAGGGCCAAAAGATCAAWTTTTCACAATTTACTGCATTAAATGTAAACCAGATCCAACAAAACCCCCTTTTCAGAACTCCCGATTACAACATAATTAGAATTAACCAAATTACAATAATAAGTGTTTCACAACCTACGGTAATAAACCCAAAGCTAATACACGAAAGTAACAGAGCTAAGCAAAGAACACAAAGTCATACAAACCAAAATCAGTCAAACCCACAACTTGACACATTATTGATTCACCAATTCTCAGAGATCTCATAAAGTAGAGTAAATTCGTAAGATCTGATTGTAGCACAAGCTGTATGTGCTGAATTCTTACCTTTGCGTAGGTCGATGATTGAAGAAACCATATAAAATGGATCCATCGCCGATTCTAACAAGATAAAGATAAGATGATGAAGATATGTGTGGAAAAGGAGAATAAGAACACAGGAGGGTCACAGAGACAAGAAGTAGATAGAAGATTTAGGCGAAGTTTTGTAGAATCTGAGCTCAATCTTGTTGTTCGTTGAAAAAAATTCTAGGTTTTTCTTTTTCTCTCTTTTTGTGTGTGTGTGTGTGTGTGTGTTATGGAACAAACCCTCTTGACCACCAGAAAAGGAAGAGGAGCTGGGGCTATGTATATCTATCCCAACCACAAACCACTTGCAACGCCACTTCACACGTCATTCGTATATGTTTTCTGCCACCGAATATACGACTCACATCCGATTACCTTCACTCGTGTCTGATCGGACTACGTGGCCTACACTCGAAAGTTTATTTCTCAATTATACATCATAATTACTTAAAAATTTTAAAAATCTATAGTATATTATAAAGCATTTGACAAAAATTATTTTTTATGTGTAAAATACTGTTTATTAATGTATATTACTTAAAACTCAAAATTACAAGTAAGGGCCTGTTTACTTACGGCTTAATGAGCTTACCCGATAAACCGGCTTATTCGCACAGCCAATTTAGGCTGTTTACTTCGAACTTATTCGCCCAGATAAGGGCTTATTCGCACAGACCATTTTAGGCACTTGTCCACATTAAGCCAACAAAAAAGACATACCTACCCTTGTAAAACTCACGCTCTGTGCGATTTTGGTTTAGGGTACAGATTTGCTCCTCCTCCAAAACCCTAATCGCGATTTTGGTCCTCGACGGTCTGCACGATTTTGGTCCTCGACGGTCTGCTCTTCTTCAATCTTCTCTTCTCCAAAGGTAACTTTTCTCCTTATGTATGGATTATGTTCGATTTCCTCCCTCTTATGTT